ATTATCTCAAATCTCAGAAAGATCAGAAGGGTTTTCATCCTCAGAAAGTAAGTTTTTCTTCAATAAAAAAGTTGAACAAAAAGTGTTCTAGAATATAGATAACTCAGATTGACCAGGTAAGGCAGCCATTCCTGTGAATTTTTGTCCTTGCAGGAAGTGTCCAGCCAATAAACTGCCTTTCTGAGTTGCAGAAAGATCCATAAAGCCCTGTCTGCCTCTAAGAAACTAAGACTATTTGTAATCATTATAATTTGCAAGGAAGCATCTGAGAGCACTTAGTAAAACAGACATAAACATAGATCTTTGGAATTATTATTTTTCTATTACAAAGCTTGTGGGTTTTCAGGCTGTTCCATTTTTTTTGATGTCCAGATTAGTGATATTTTGATGGATTAATCTTTTTTTCATTAGCTGCATTAAATTCTAACAGGTGGCTGGTCTCTTCAAATAACAGAATTTTGCATACAGCAAACGTATGTATCGTGACCATAAACACCTAAAGCTAAAGCGACAGCTTAGAAAAAGGAGTATGGAAGTAGGTGGCTGATGTAAAAATATTATCTTCTGGCTAGTTTCCAGCTGAGTGACTGATTGTGGTGGCTCTCAGTTTCATCAGTGCAAGACAAATTGTTCAATATATTTTAAACGTACATCCAACCTGATAGACATGGAATGTGAATTTAGGCACTATCCCTTTGAGCAGGATCAATATGTCTGCAGCTGCATGGTATCTCTGAAGTTAAATATTCATTTTTAATACAGCTTCAGACTCGGTTATTTCACTTACGATTTTTTTTTTTACTTTAGTTTGTTTCTAATGAAAAACAAGTTTGACATTTGTTTTCAAACCATTCATCGGTGATGGTTCAGAAATCAAACACAAGATGGGCTGTAAACTTGATTTATGACCCAACAGCTTTTCTTTGAAAGAATCTGACATGTCAAACCCAATTTTTTGAGAGCAATATACCAGATTTGGTTAACTTTGTCTGGGATAAGGTTCTTGACTCTTAAAGAGAGAAAGAGAAATAAAAAGGGGAGGTGGAGGGGGGAGAAAGGGAGGGAGAAGTGCACCCATGCATCAGTAGATATTAGTAACCAGGAACCAAGATTCTTGCCAAGAGACTTGAGAATTCCCTCATGCAAGAATAAGAATCTGAACACTCTGTTCCTCCTATATGACAACCATGTTGATAACTACTACCTGGTGGGAAGAGGACGCTCTCTTTATTTTTTTAAACACATTCAAAAGAGTTCTGGTTCTTTCTGTGCAGTACAGAACAGGAAATGCTTTGAAATTATGGATATTTTTGTAGGATGTGAAAATTAGTGCCTTCCTACATCCATTCATGAAACAGAAAAAAAGGTATTTAACTTTTTTAAGAGACCAGCTGTAGTTGTGAGTTTTGTAATTTTTGTTTGACTCTTGCTATTTAGTACAAGTTTAGGAAGAAAGGATTAAATTCTGGTTTTGCTGTTCAATTTAGTAGATAACTGTGCTTCAATATATCCATCTGAAAATTGTATTAATTTTGAATAGCCTGTTGCATGGTGCATTGTCTCAGTTAAGAAACCACACCCCATGATCTGAAGGATATGAAATAGCTTATAGAAGACACACCGGTCTACTTCAGAGTTTCTAAACTGAACGAGGATTGCAGAAACTTTGTGCTGTCCATTAATATTGCTACCTTTGGAGAGTGTAAACTTGAAAGAGAGAGAGGCAGCTGGAGAATTTCCCAGCTCTGCCTCAGTCCACATGGATTAATTACCAGGAAAACATACATACATTTGCAAGCTAATAAATAGATAAAATAACAGACACTAAAGGTGTTGATTGACTGAGGGCACATTTCAAAACACCTTTGAAAAGTCTGATATTTTAAGTATACCAAGTTATTCAAATTATTTTCCTTGCCTATATTACTCCCATTCACAGTATTTCCCCACAGCCTCAACTCTGGAATGCAGAATACCCAGGTATGCTTTCACTTTTCCAGATTGGTGAAGGAGTTGGCCCTGGGAGATGTGATTGTTTGTAGTATAGACATATCCACAACAGTGTTAGGTTGGTTGGCATCCATAGGGAATGCAATACTGAAATACTGATATTTGCCCCAATTTAGAGGGCTTAGAGTTGTACTGTCTTATTAAGCATTAATTCTTCCTGGTCAAAAATATTGGTAACTATCACTTTAAAATAAGTATACAACAGCGTTAACCTCTAGTGTATCTTTGTTTTAATCTTGACTAGAGTTTTTATGTACTCCTGGATGATGGAACAGAGTGCACTCTCAGCAAAATGGGAGGAACGGGTGACAAAGTAGAGGGCAGGGCTGCTGTTTAGGGAGACCTTGACAAGTTGGAGAAAGTCATGGAGTCCAACAAAGGCAAATACAACATTTTGCTCAGGAGTGGTATAACCTCGTGCAGCAGTGCAGAACTGGGGACTGACTGAGCAGGAAAAAGCTTTGCAGCAAAGGTCCTGGCAGCCCAGGTGGACAGTAAGTTGAGCATGAGTTGGCAAAGGCAAGAATTTAGCGAGCAGGTCCAGGAGGGTGATCCTTCACATCTGTTTAGCATCTGTGAGGGCACATTTGGAATGCTGTGTCAAATTTCAGGCTCCCCAGTGTACAAAAAGAATGGGCATACTGGATTGAGTCTAGTGCAGGACAACAAGGTGTTTGGGGGCTGGAACACCTGAAGTGGTGAAATCTCCGTCCAGAGATGTTCAGAACATGATGGATGAGGTACTGACAACCTGCTGTATTGGACCTGCTTTGAACAGGAGGTTGGATCACTTGGCCTCCAGAGGGTCTTTCCAGCCTACATGCTCCTGTGATTCTGATATATCAGTTCTGTGTCTAATTTATTATTTTCAGTAACATTTTCTCTGTTAAATTATCTATTGAATCTCACAAGTTATGGGAAAATTAAATTGGGCACAAATTTTATAATAACTTCATACTGTTGTTGAAGGATGATTTATCTGCATATATTAGCATTCTGTGCCTATTCATTTAAAAGTAGGAAGTCTGTTAGAGACCTGAAGTACAGTACACAAAAGTAATGTCGATCTTTGCTTAAATTGATGAAAATACTGTTTTCTAGTCTACTTATTTGTTGCATTCAGATTAACGCTGCCAGTTACTATATCCTTACTTACAATGAGAGAACTTCATTTGCTCAGAGTTTCAAAACAGATTTAGAACAACAGTGACTCAGAAGACATTATCTGATGAATGGTAATTGAGTTGAGAATGACAGAACTGCAAAACTAAATTTAAATTCATAGTGGATGATGTTTAAAAAATGGCAATGTGCTGACAAATTATGGGCCTTTACAGAGAAGTTAAGAAATAGGAATGACTAATTTTGCAGTTTAAGAAAAAATATTATTTCAAATCCTTTTCTCTTCCACCCACTTTAGCCCCCAAGAAAATTAAAAAAAAAAAAGAGAGACAAAAAGAGCTAAAAAGCATTAAAATCAGTGTAAAGAAAAGTAACAACCCACAGATGTTGCCGAAAAGTCTTTCACAGCTGTGGCTCTCTCCAAAGTCTGTAGTGCAGAATGATTTCCTGTATAGAGTAGAAGCTGTTGCTGGAAAAATGAACTGAAAGAGGGTCTGTGGACCAAATCCAGTTCGCTTCCCATCCTTGAAGAGATATTTTGATTCAGTACTAGATCTGATGGGTCAACATCCCAGACACCAATTGAGTGGGTTTATGCTCTGGTCAGATAAAGGAAAACCTCTGTAAAGGAGAAACATATGAGTTGATAATGGATCCATTTTGTAATTCCTGCAAAGTTGAAATTAATACTGTAGATTTTAAAGGGCATTGGTAATTTAATCAAAGAGCAGAGGAAATATAGTAAAGAGAATGCAGCTAAACATCTCCTGCAATTCAACTGGCAGGAGATGAGTGTGTTTAGTAGATTAAACCCATACACGTGTGGATATGTGTGTGTCAGTAAGAATGGGAACAGTGATTTTGACAAGTTGGAGGGAAAAAATATTATAGAGTTATATCAAAATGTCAAATGTACTTTGAATCTCTGACAACCCATAATCTGTGTTAAAGACTGAAGTATGAATTAATGTTGAAAAGCAAAACATCAAAATGTTCCAGGTGACTACAAAAGTTGCAGCTTTCCCATGAACATTTTCTATCAATTTTAAAGAAAAAAATAAATGAATGTTCTTTTTTTCATATAGCATGCACTGATCTGTCAGAGATCAGCAAAGAGTGCACTTGCTAACAACAGCAAAAGTAGTAATGATCAATGTCACTTCTATGAATTAAATATACAGATGATGACTCTAGTAGAATAGCTGCACTATTTAGCTGCATGGTTTGAACATGCTTCAACAACATTCAGAAGGTTTTTGACCACTACGAAACTCTTCCTATTCCACAACTTGCATAAGTCTACTAATGTTATTTCAGGGTAGATCAAAAGGGAGGAGGGAAGTAATCTTATTAGGAATCTTGACATTATTTCATTGTATCTATCCCTTGGATTTTGAAAACTGAGCGTTTTTCCAGTACTTCACTTTCAAAAGTTTCAGTGATGATAATATCTTTTTAAATAAAATTTTCATCAAATATTCAAAAATGTTTTACATTAGTTTATATTATTTATCTGTTTATGACTATATTTTATAGAAGGGTAATTAACTGCTATGATAAACTATGAAATGCTGGATAATATTCATGAAAATACAAAATTGTAACATGTCAGTGCATGGTTTTTGTGAGAGTTTAAAGAGATTACTTTTTTTAACACAAGTGCCTGCAATACCTTAGCATGTGAAAGATTCTAAATTTTCGTGCTATAGTTACTCTCTAAGCAAAAACATTTACAGCTACTGAAGGCATGAACATTATTTAAACAAAAGAAAAAGCGAAGCATTCCTGAAACTATAGGTATAAAATCAAGTCTTATTCTACCCAATAATAATAAGAAAACTATATATGTGAATTTCTTTCTTTTCTAGCACCACTAACAGATAAACCACCAAAGCTTTTACACCCCTTGGAGAGTAAGCTAACAATTCAGGAGACCCAGTTAGGTAAGTAGTAAATACGTAATTTTTATTCAAATTGTATGAAGGTATTTGATGTGTTAAAGAATGATGGTAATGTGACGGTATGTTGGCATTAATAATTTCATTGAAAAGGCATTAAACATACTTCGTTTCCATTCAGAGATGTATCATATACCATCTAGAAGATTGTTGTTCACAAAAAAATGGTCATAATTAATACTGAATACTAAGGTCTTGAATATTACTGATACTGTTTTTTACTTTTGCTGAAAGTCTATAGTTATAAGTGTACCTGAGGTTTTCTTTCTGAATTTCCCCTTTTCTGTATATTTATATAGATATATATACTATGGGATTCAGTGGGATTTTGTGGTTTAAATTCTGCTTGCAAGACTTCTTTACTTTGGCGATTACTTATGGAATTGCAAAGGCATTCTGTAATTATATATGTTGTGCTGGTCTAAAATCATCCAGCAAACAGTGAGAAGTTAACATAATAGCATCTGATTTTTCTGAATGCACGGATATATATGTAAAGATGAATGGAGAGAAACTGATGCACGAAGAAACCATTTGCTTCACTTTTTCTAGCCTAGTGGATGGTGGGTATGTTTTATCACTTTGGTCTCCTACTGCCATACAGCTAATTAAGGCTCCAAAGCTAAGTGCATGAGTTACTACTCAGTTTGCAGGGTATAACAAACCATCTCCTTTGTGGATCGACACATAGGGCAACTTGTAAGAAACAAACAGTCTTCAGTAGGTTACACTGGAATTATGTTTTGGTGTCAGAACAGTAACCTATTGATAGATCTTCTAGCATGTCAGCTACAGAAACAAATGGAAACAAATCTGGTGCTTGTCTAAATCTCATAGGAAAAAAAATAAATAAAGCAAGCAAAATTCAGTACATTCTGCAGCACAACAACAGAAAAAGCAGAAGGGTTGCAAATTAATTCTGACAGTCATTGACAGAACATTTTATGATGTTTGCCAGCCTGTGCCTAATAGTGGCCAGAGAATAATTCATCTCTGTTTTGATATTCATAAAATATTACTTAAAATGATTCATGTTATTCAGGTAATATTCTGAGATGCTGATACACATGTTTTCAGAAATAATTATATAGAAAAGGGGAGATGTAGCATATTTCCTTCTAGACCTAATTTCTGTTGTTCTGAAGGTATTGTTTCTGATATACCAACTCAGAAAACTTTTCCTATATGACAATCCTAGACGATTTTACCTTTTCATTTGAACACAAGCCGAGGGAACAGTGAGTAAAGTGACTCTACACTTTTTTTTCCTAACTAATGTTGCTAACTGAGATATTTTTGATGAAAAAAACAAAAGGCGGAACCTTTTTGGGCTTTGACGTTGTCTTGCTAAATATACTGTATGAGTGAGACTATTTCAATGAGTATAATTATTAATGGCTAGCTAGACGCTTTTTATCTATGATTTTTAGAATTAATCATATCTTTGATTTCTCATAGTTCTAAGAAACAGATTAAATAATTTGAGAAGTGCTGGGTTTGGAAAAGACACTTTTCAGAAAACTAAATTGCTATTGATGAATATGAAAGATTTAATTTGAAAATGTCACTTTCAGACACAGATGGGAAAGTCTGACCATAAATAAATGTGAAACTGTAATACTTAGCCTTATATCAAGAAGCTACAAGGATATATTAATTTGATGTTTAAAAGCCTGTGAAAAAGCCTGTGAGAACTGAAGTGCAAAAAAGTGATAGTTTCTTGACACAAAAATTATGTTGTTTCAGTCTTAGATTTAATGTCTTAGTCTTGCTGGATGACATTTGAAAGGTCTATGTTTCACTTTCACTGAGGAAAGCTAGCATTCATTTCAGGGGGGCAGTTCATATCCTGCAAAAAATGCAAAATATTTTAATGTTGGAATAATGTCGAGGTTCACTTAGCCAAACCTTAGATAGTTACCTAAGTCAGCAGCCTCCTACCCACCTGAGCCTTGGGGTGACCACATGTTGCAGACTAGTCTAGACGCTGCCAGAAAATTTGTTAGTCCTCCAGAATGTGTTTGGGATGGTGTGTTTGTCCCTTATTTGGAAAATAAATGTGTTGGTGGAATGCGTGGCACAGAAAAGGGAGAGCAAGCAAGGAGGAGCTTGAGGTAGACTGGGATTTCATTAGCAGGTTACCAGTTGGGGCAATCCCTGCTCTCCCCCCACATTTCTGTGCTTCTCACCTCACAGTCCTCCACCTTAAACTGGAAATGAAGCAGGTTGCAAATGTCAAAGCATGCCCTGGGGGGCGCATACATAATTTACAGGGATGTGTGTGATTCTCCAGGTGCACATGGTGTGCTAAAACATCAATAGTGATGGTTCACCTCAAAATGTTCCCCTGCTGGCAGGCCTCTGGGGAGTGGTGCTGGGCATACTTTTGATGAAGCCCTCAGTAACCCCAGTGTGTTTGCTGCTGAAGGAGCTACTGGAGTTCAGTTCTTAAACAGGGCACCTCCATGCAGTGTCTTATCAAGGTGGGAAGACTCCAGGCGTATCTCATTGGTTTGGCTCCAGCACTGCTGAATGACAGATATATCTGACATTTATTGCTGAGATATATTGGTCTCTTCTATACACCATGGGACCACAGACCAATTTACCAATTTCTGGATTGGTAAATTGTATTATTGTGTTGCATGGCTTCTGTAGAACAGCATCAGACCAAAAGGTGACTGCACATTAAGGAAGGTGTTTCTCTAAGGGGTGACTGATGGAGTGTTATGGCATAGGTTAGCAACTGCAGTTTGACTTGCTAAGACTAAAGGAAAGAAACCAGAGCTGGAGAATCTGCACTCCTCAATCCTATGAACCTACAGGTTCCTATCACGCTCAAGCTGTCCACAGTCAGTCATGGGAAAGGTATCCCGCTATTCACCAGATGTTTGGGAGAGTGTTAAGCATGGCTGCACTGCAATGAGCCGCCTTAGGGAGTCACAGGAATCTTGCGACCTTATCCGAAAGATCTTTTTATCACACTGAATAGTAACCAGAAAAGCACAAGATAGAAGCGCAGGATAGAAACTGAAGAAAAAAATCATTTCTCAAAAGCTTTTCTTAAAAGACAGCATGAGACAGCCAAAGCATGAAGCAGAGAAATCTTAGATGAGGAAAGAAAGGTTAGTTCCCAACTTATCCTGTTCTGCATTTAATGTTTTTGTTTGTAACTTCACTTCCAATTTTGGAATCAATAACTTAATCCTGTTGCAAGGGTAAAAATACTTTTTTCTTTTTAAGCTTTTCTCCTGTTAAAAGGGTTCTTAGTTAGCTGTGGTGACCTCAATATAAACTGCTTCTCTGGAAAAAATGACTCCAGATAAAATATTATGTCAAATACAGTCTTCAAAAGTATGCAGCCTGCAAGAAGCTTGGAGCTCTAAGGAGATGAGGAGTGTTTCTCACTCAGCTCTGAGCAACTCTGTGGGCTGTCAGCAGCATATGCCAGGGACGGGAGAAAAGCAGGCAATGAATGGGAGGCAAGGGGAGGCAAGGCACATTTAATGAAGAACAACATAATGATCCAAGGAACTTCATCCCACAATATTCTTCCTTGCACACTCAACACGCTAACAGAATCAAACAAATCCCTACTATCATAAAAAAAACCATGTAATAATAATAAAAATACAAACTTTTCAGTTCAGACCTGTTCAGAAAGGAATTATTTGACATTTTTTCTTACATATGAAAAACCCTAAACCTTCAGATAACTGTGTTTTTAATTCTAGATTAATGTAAATGTTATATATTTATAAATATATTATATCCATGATATGTATATTTATATAAAAATTATGTTCTGTTTTTCTATATTGCTAAATTATGAGTCTTTTCAGTTTCACCTGTCTTTCAGGTAACATTGTTTTTCCCAATAGCACTGTCAAATATGTGTCCGCCTCAAGGAAACAGGAAGAATACGTTTAGTCTGACTCAAGAAAATTTGATTTTAGTATAGACTTAGTCCATCTTCATGTTACTAAAGAAGACATGTGTCTCCACAACAGGCAGTAATGGATCTGAATTAAAAAAACCTAAAACTCAATGATTATTTTAAACATTCACAAGCTAGTTAGCCTGTGTCCTCCCCGCTTTTCACTGTTTCCTGATTCTGCACAAGGCTGTAATTTGAAATGCCAAAATTCACCTAGAAAAATAAAGTAGTTGTTGAATTATTTTTAGCTAGGTTTGATGTTGGAGAAAAGAGAAAAGGAATAAAGGATTTCCAGCACTATATGAATGGACCTAAAAGATAAGTTTAGACAGGCACCTGAACACTTTCTCTGTCACCTGAATGAAATGAGTTTTCCTGAATTTCAATAAAATTAAATTGACTATTACCTAATGAATTGGGACTTGCTTCTTTCTCCTCCTTCCCCACACATATTCAAGAAAAAATTTCACTGAAACTACTTTTAATGTGTTATTTCTAAAGTAAGAATACAAAGAAGTGCCAGAGGTAAATCATCAGGGAGAGGAGAATGCTACTTCATTTATAGCACTATGTTGTCATAAAAAACTTCTACATAAATTGGCCTTGTTAATGATAAAAGCCCTCCTTAACTAGCTTAATCAGTAGCTGTATAAATAAATTAACTAAAGTGATATGAAATAACTAGCAATCTGTGCCTCCTTTCAGGATGAAAATTAAAATCAAAGAACATCTAAAATTATTAATTTTTATCTCTACACATTTCATCTAATTGCTATATCCACTTTGTAATAGGAACAGAATTTTTTTCATTATGATATAGGGATTTTTTATCTATTTGATTACATCAACATTCTTTAAACCAAATTGATCTTTTTCAGTCATATGATTCGATTGGACACTTTGGTTCTTTGATATATTCTATTATTAGATTAGCATAATAAGAGCAACAATTTCACAGGGGAATAATCAAAACTGTAAATTCCAAAATTACTTCACACATATCACCTATTTTGTTATTTATCTGAGAGCTTGGGTTTTCCTTTCATAA